GATCACCTCATCCTTCATATACCCATCCGCTGACAACGTCCACTCCCAAATATCCTTAATACAATCCTTCCTCCATAACTCTCCTTCCCTCCCAATCTGATATCCAATCATTATCACCTAATATTTTTTGTTATCCTCATAACCTACTCTTTCCTGATATTCACTTTAATTTTCTTCTTTTGCAACACCCTACTAAATTCATCACCAATCTCTGCAACTTCTCTTTCATAATCCCCCAAGGCACCAGTGTCATCAGCAAAGAGCAACTGTGACAACTCCCACTTTAATGTGTGATGTCTTTATCTTTTAACTTTTAAACCCTCTTGTCAAGACCTCGGCATTTACTTCTCTTACAACCCCATCTATAAATAAATGTAAACAATCACGGAGACATCACACACCTTGTCTAATGGCCTACTTTTTACTGGAAATATTTCCCTCTTTTCCTAGACTCTAACTTGACCTCACTATCCTGTAAAAACTCTTCACTGCTTTCAGTAACCAACCTCCTACATCAAACACCTGGCAAACATCTGCCACATTGCCCCCCTATCCACCCTGTCATAATAGCTTTTCCAAATTCCATAATTGCCACAAAGACCCTCTTTTAGCCTTACTAAATACTGTTCACGGCTTTATATGTTTCACATGTAAACGACCTGGTCCACACCCCCCATACCTTCCTAAATCCTCCTTGTTCATCTGCTATCCTATTCTCAGTCTTACATTTAATTCTAATTCCATAATAACCTACCATACACTTTACCAGGTATACTCCAACAGACTTATCCCCTTTATATTTATTTCACACACTTTTGTTCCCCTTTTGCCTTTATACAAAGGGACTATGCATGCTCTCTGCCAATTCCCTATTACCTTACCCTCTTCCATACATTTATTAAATAATTGGCACCAACCACTTCCAAAACAATATCCCACCTGCTTTTTACATTTCTATCTTTTTATCCCAACAATCCCGGCTGCCCTTACCCCCTTTCATATAACCTACCGCCTCACGAACAATTCCCCCCACACTCAACAACTGGCCTCTTCCTCACTCCTAACAAATGTTATCCTCCTTCACCTATACACGAAATCCACAGTTCCCTATCTTCATCAACATTTTAACAATTCTCACAAAATATCCCTCCATCATCCAATACCTCTAACTCTCTATTTAATAACTCACCACCTCCATTTTTAACTGACAAATCCATCTGTTCTCTAGGCTTCCATAAACTTGTTAACTCACTGCAAAACGTTTTATTCTTATTTTCAACAAAATTTGTTGATAACATCTCACCCACTCTCTCATTTGCTCTCTTTTTACTTGCTTCCCCCCTCTTTAAACCTCTCTCTTTTCCCCCAACCTTCCCCCTTTGCATCACTTCTCTTTGTAAAAACTTTCATATGCTAACTTTCTCCCCCCTTACTCCTTTTTTACATCACATTCCCCATCGCTTCTCTCCCTCCCACACCCACTTTCCCGTAACCACAAACTTTTGCGAACACTCTAAATACATTTTTTAAAACCCACCCCATACCTCTTCGACCCCATTGCCTATGCCTTTTTATCCCATCACCTTTTAAAAGCTCAGTGTACTAAACAAAAGTATCTATATATCTGTGGCCCCTCTATAAACATGTACATCCTAGTCTAACCCCAAAATTTTTATCTCAAAACATAATCCAAAAACTACTGTTTTTCGCCCCACATCATTTCTTGTTACTTATTTTTCCTCTTTTTTTTAAAAATTTTATTACCTATAACAAACCCCTTTTTATACAAAATTTTAATCAAAAGGGGCCCCCTTATCATTTACACTGGGACCCCAAACTTAAATCCACACCCCCCTCTAAAAGTTTCTTACTTTTCATTCAGGTCCCCCACCACAAATTTCTCTCTCACTTTGGGCCAAAGGCTCCTTAATTCACTTATCTCTCCCAAAAATCTCTCTCCCCTCTCCCCTGCATTCCTCTTTTCTCAAGGTCATACACGCTTATTTGACCCCCTTCTCGCATCCAACCTTTACTTTATCCACATAATTTTGCATTTTCACATTCATATTCTCTTTTCTCCTTTCCCTAACTGATCATTCAACATATGCTACCCCCTTTCCCTTTTCCAAAATCTCTCAGACTCCAGATTTAATCCCCTTTTTTTCCCCCCACCGAAACCCCCTACCCCCCTTTGCTTTGTTTTTGCTTAGGCCAGGGCATCCAACTTCTTTTTTATTCATAACATCAGCAATCATCTGTTTTTGCATCTGCCTACATCCCCGAACGTTTTAAGCATCCATTGCAAAAAAGTTTTTCTTCTTCTCTTTTTAAATAAATGTCTACAGGAGAAGGGGTTATAGCCCATTGCCCCGGGATTTTTTCGCCTCATCGACCGCAGGGTTTCGGGGGAAAGATTTTTTTCCACTTCCCCATGGGCAATAGAAGAAAAAAAGAAGAACAAGAGCTATGTAGAAAAAGGAGAAAAACCTAGATGTATGTACATCATATATGCATGTGCGTGTCTGTGAAGTGTGACCAAAGTGTAAGTAGGAGTAGCAAGATATCCTGTTATCTAGCGTGTTTATGAGACAGAAAAAAGACACCAGCAATCCTACCATCATGCAAAACAGTTACAGGTTTCTGTTTCACAGTCATCTGGCAGGACCGGTAGTACTTCCCTGGGTGGTGTTGCTGTCTAAACAACCTACTACCTATATATATATATATTTTATATATATATATATATATAATATATATATATATAATATATATATATATATATATATATATATATATATATATATATATATATATATATATGTATATATACATTTCAGGGGTTCAGGGAAACCGGCAGGCCGGACTTGAGTTCTGGAGATGGGAAGTACAGTGCCTGCACTCTGAAGGAGGGGTGTTAATGTTGCAGTTTAAAAACTGTAGTGTAAAGCACCCTTCTGGCAAGACAGTGATGGAGTGAATGATGGTGAAAGTTTTTCTTTTTCGGGCCACCCTGCCTTGGTGGGAATCGGCCAGTGTGATAATAAAAAATAATAATAATATATATATATGTACATATATATGTCGTGCCGAATATGCAGAACTTGCCATCTTGGCTTGAATAGCAACGTTCATCTTGCCATATAGGACAAGTGAAAATTTGTGAATGCAATAATTTCGCCAAAATCATTCTGAACCTAACGAAAAAAAAATATTTGATAGTGTTTGTTTAGTATTAAATTATTGTAAACAAATCTTAAATATATTTAGTTGGGTTAGGCTAAACTAAATTGGGCTTGTTATAAAAAGGTTAGGTAAGTTTCCTAAGATTCTTTTGGTGGAAAATTAAAAATTTTTACATTAACATTAATGAAAAAAATATATCTCTAAACGTATAAGAGAAAATTTTAGGAAGGACTTAATTTTAAATGAGTTCTTGCTAATTGACCAGTTTTAACATATTCGGCACGACATATATATATATATATATATATATATATATATATATATATATATATATATATATATAATATATATTTATATATATATATATATATATATATATATATGTATATATATATATATATATATATATATATATATGGTATTATAATTAATGTTGATTATTCGAATTTATATTAAACTGTCTGTCTGTTTCAGGGAATGTTTGTGATTCTCTTCGTGGGATATCTTATCAGTTTTGTAACTTTCTGCCTTGAAATTTTGTTTTTTAATAATAAAAAAAAGTAATAGTTAAAATTTCTGAAAATTTATAATTGTTGTGGAAAATATCTAAATATCGTATATTACAATTTACAATAACAAAGTTTTGCGTGTCGAATAACTATTTAATAAATGATTTCAAATATTTCTTGAGCATTTCATCATTGCTTAATTCGCTAAATATTTTGTTAATCTGAAATATATTTTGGACTGAATTCATCTTTTCATTTACTACCTATCTCTTATGAAATTTTTCACATTATTCTCCTGTTGAACAAGACATAAATTTTGGAATATTTATTGCTATGTATTTTCTTACTGGTTAGACAGACTAAACCCAAGTCAGATAGTTCTATCAAAAAAAAATTAGCTTCCGTAAAAGCAGCTCTGTTTTTAATAAGCTGTCTGGGCTTGATAAATGTTTGAATATATATTATATATATATAATATATATATATATATATATATATATATATATATATATATATATATATATATATATATATATATATATATATATATATATATATATATATATATTATATAATATATATATATATATATAATTATAATATATATATATTTATATATATATATATATATATATATATATATATATATATATATATAATATATATCTTCTGTACCATATTATGTAATAAAATATTCCTATCGGTAAAAAAAATAATATATATATAAAAGATGGGGGTAGTAGGGGAAGTGGAATATTCAAACGGTGTTTCAGGAGAAAATCCAAATATTCTTCCTTGTAGCCTTTTTATCCACTTCTCTGAGGCTATGGGTCCCACAATTTACGCAGAGATGGACCCCATCATATATACATTAATAATATATATATATATATATATATATATATATATATTATAATATATATATATATATATATATATATATATATATTATATATATATATATATATATATATATATATATATATATATTATATATATATATATTATATTATAATATATATATATATATATATATATATATATATATATATATTATATATATATATATACATATCCATATATATAAATTCACATCTAAATTTAATTTGTTAAAGTGTTTTATATAGCTAAGGTTTGCCTGAAAAATGAAAGTATTATATAAGCTGGAAGAGTTCAATTTAAGCACTTTGCATCTTAGTGCACCTTTGAAATATCTGAAAGATATTATCGCAGTTACAATATAACTTAGCAGACTCCAAATGTTTTATTTTATTCCTCACGTTTATTTTTTTTTCTAATATTTTCTTATAGATGATTTCTAAAATTTATCATCTCTCACTTTAACCAGAAGACCGGATTTGTTGAATAAAATTCAATAATGGTTTTATTTCTACCTTCTTCGGTGTCATATCACCGAGTAATTAAGAGAACTTTACAGATGATACATTACTCTCTAAGGAATATGATTTCTTTCTTAAGTATTAATTAAAAAAAAGTTTAATTAAGTGGAAACATTATCAGATTGGTTTTAAACACATCAGTTAACGTCGCGAATCACAGTGTATTGGACCAGAAGTCCGTCTCATCCCCCAAATGGTTTTGTTGATACATAGGAAAACAATCAAGTAAGGTTATAACATCCTGAAATGATCCTTTTGCTATAGTGGATAACACAGTAATGGTTATGTTCAGGCTATTTACTGGAGGCAGTTATTACAAAATAACAAATGAACTAAATAAATTTGCAAAGAAATTTCTCATCACAATGTCTTATCTTTATCTCACTTCCTTCCCGGACTGCATGCAAATATATATTTATATACATGCATATATTTGCATTCCTGTAAGACAGCAGGGCAGCTCAGACATCCAGCTGTTGAGCACCTTGGTGAATATTTTAGAATAATATAGCTGCTAAGCCCTTATTTTCTTCATATTTCGAAACATGCATATGCAGAGGTGTACCTTATAAAAAAGACCTCAATGAAGGTGCTAGCTAGCTGACCTTCAAACATGGAGCTAAGGTAGACAAACTCTCCACGACTCTTCTTAAACCTTGTGTATCAGCACTCAGGGGATTTTCTGTGAACTGCTCTGTTTGAAACACTATGATGAATTTCTTTCACAAATGTCTTAACTATTTATTTTTATGAATTTACTAAAAATATATCAACTTTTTTTTGTAATTTATTTGAAACTATGAATGTTTTCTGTGTTTCAGACCTGATGACGGGAATATTAATTTCTCGAAACATTGTCACAATGACTATTTAGCAACTCTGACTTTAATTTTCTAATAAGATTACATATGCCATGCATACACTCAGTTGCTGATTATAAGAAATATATTTACAAATAAAAGGGTTAGAAACACGTACTTTTGCAGTATATAGTGAAATGATACTGAAAGAAGCAATAAAATTTGGTTGTTTGATTGTGCATGAGAGTTGTATTAATGAAAAAATCAACTGACTGCTAAGGTTGTGAAAGAAAAAAAACTGGATGAATGCCAGAAGCAATCGGCTAGTAACCCCAACGGCCAGTGCGTTGAAAGAAGAAATAAATACAGCTTTGATATTATATATATATATATATATATATATATATATAATATATATATATATATATATATATATATATATATATATATATACATATATATATATATATATAATATCAAAGCTGTATTTAAAAATCTTGATACAGTAAAAAAAACTTTTGATGAAGAATTCCCCCCAAAATGCTGACGGATGTCTCTATAAGATTCCTTGTAAAATTTGCGATAAAGTTTATTTCTATCAAACTGATAAAAATCTCGAACTAAGATTAAAACAACATAGATATAGCATTATAACTGGACACATTCCTCTATTTATTCATGTGAGAGATTTTAACCATCCAATTGATTTTCAAAAAGTTGAGAAAGTAGTATCAAGCAAGTCCATGGTCGACAGGAATATAATTGAATCTTATTTCATAAAAAAGCAGTTTTGACAATAATATGAATATTTCCTTTGGTTTATAAAATTAGATCCATTTATAATTAATAGAATTTGCGTAGAATTTAATACTACATTGGACAAATAATAAATTTTAAAATTCTTAATTCTTGGGTAGAATACTGCAGTGTTGTTATTGATCAATACCACTCATTCGTGGTTACAATAATATATAAATGCTGCTCGTGAGGCTAGTACACCAAACAGGAATGAGAATGAAATTAGCTTAGATGCTCCCACACCTCCGTATGCCCTCGGATGGCGGCCCAACAGCTAGCTGTGTGCTGGCTGTGCCATTCTTGTAGGGTTGGGTGGTCCTGTGGTTTAAAGCGTAATGTGGTTCTCGCTTACCATGAGGCAGGCCATTACAACATGGGTTCGAATCCTTGGCTAGCACAGTGTTGTTATATATATATATATATATATATAATTATAATATATATATATATATATATATATATATATATATATATATAATATTATATATATATAATATATATATTATATATATATATATATATATATATATATATATATATATATATATATATATATTATATATGGCTTTGGGGTCTCTCAAGGAAGTGAAGCAGCGGTTCATGCAACAAGGGCATATATCAACAACCTGCCTGAGGACAATGCAGTGGTAAAATTAGTTTTCAAGAATGCGTTCAATCTCCTGAAAAGAGACGTGGTATTAGCAGCAGTACAAGAACATTACCCTGGTCTCTTGTTCAAGAACATTTCCCTGGTCTCTTCCCTTTTGTTTCAGCTGGGTATAGCAAGGAATCAATGCTTCTCTTTGGAGAGCATGAAATCACATCATCGGAGGGTGTCCAACAAGGAGATCCTCTTGCACCATTTCTCTTCTGTATAGCAGTTAGGGAAATCACAGTCAGACTGACCAGCGAGCTAAACATCTGGTTCCAAGATGATGGCACACTAGCAGGTACAAAGGAGTCCCTCCTACATGACCTTACACAGGTAATGACACGGGGACAGGAAATGGGTCTCATCCTGAATCCATCCAAATGTGAAATCATCTCAGTCAGTCAACAAGTGATAAATGCAGTGAGATCAAAACTACAAGGAGCAGCAGTCATTGCCCCCACAAATAGTGTCTTGCTAGGAGCACCTCTGGGAAGCAATGCCATTAACACAATTCTCAGGAAGAAATTGGAAGAGTTAAGGAGAATGGAACAACGAATAGGCAATCTGGACACCCACGATGCCTTGTCCCTTTCTCACAAAGTGCTTGAGTCTGCCCAGGTTGACATATTTCCGAAGATGTGCACCTTCATATGATAACCCTATACTGCACGAATATGACAGTATTCTGAGGCAGATTTTTACGAAAGTACTTAACCTTACTCTAGAAGACGGGCAGTGGAACCAAGCTACACTTCCAGTCAGACTAGGAGGCATTGGTGTCCGCAAGTCATCACAGATTGCGTTACCTGCTTTTTCTGTCCTCGTGTATTGCATCCAGAGAGCTTGTAACAGCGATTCTCCCTGAACATCTTAGGGACAAGATTGGGAGTTCAGGACCAAAAATTCATTGACGGAGCAATGATCTGGGATAATCTAACGGGCTCTGAAACCAGACCCGCTCCCCCAACAACTACAAACAATCGCACTGGGATGGTCCAATAGTGGAAAATATTGCCTCAACAATGCTTCAGAGTGTGTCAGGGAAGGATAGAGCCCGCCTCCTGGCAGTGAGAGCCCCTCATGCTGGGGACTTTCTGTTGGCTGTTCCCAAAATCCAGCCTTGGCACACGCCTTGACCCACAGACCATCCGCATTGGTGTTGCCCTTCGACTTGCCGCCCCTATTTTCGCCGAACACAGGTGTATTTGTGGCAGTGAAGCAGCAGACCGATTCGGGTACCATGGTCTTGTGTGCCGTAAATCCGAGGGAAAAATTGCAAGACATGAGGAGGTTAATAACATTATCAAGAGGAGCCTCACAACAGCTGGATGCCCAGAAGTAAGGGAGCCACCCCAACTATGCAGATCTGATGGCAGCCAG